CTGTATGAACTGCATTCATACAACGCAAGTGTCCCGCCTGCGCAGTAGAGGACGCAGTGATGTCACAGGCCAGCGCGCTCTGTGTTTACGGAAGTAAACATGGATGGTAGTGCTGGGGCACATCTAGCGATCTTTCCCAACCTTAAAACCACAATCTTTTCAATATGGTTAAACATAAATACTGCTCTACATATCATCGTCCGCCATGGTTGTTGTTTTTCTTGCCGCTTTTACGTAGGAAGAAGCAGAATATAGTGACCTTTGTCAGGTATTAATGACATTCAGGTCGGATGAATGCGACCTGGCCGTTCAGACACAGTTCGCATTTGAAAAGATCAGATTGGTATCGGATTCAGGACCACATAGCCAAGTGGCCTGGGTCGCATTGGAACAAAAAAAAAAACGTATCTTTGTTGTTCAGACTGCCATGAAAAGATCGGATACAGGTCAGATATGGGCAAAAAATCAAAATAAAAAATCGAATTTGGGTCACTTCAGACAGCCTTGGACTATTATGACATAAAGAACATACAAGCTCCAAACACGAGCCAAAGATTATCTTATTATTTATAATATAATTATAAAATCACTGGTAGTCAAAGTGGGCATGAAAGGTCTCCTTGTTTTTAATATTCTATTGTTTTTATCTTTACTTCTTCACAGAAGCTGTTGAGTAACCAGCTTCTGATGGGCAGAGAAGCACCGATCAAATATTTATATCTGTATTGATCCTGACATTAAGTAAATTCTGAATCAGGCATCAGGGCAGATCTATTCAGATTTTTTTTTTTTTTTTAACAAATAATTTAAGTTAGGTTAAAAATCTTGTACACAGCATGAAAGGTTACACCTTCATTGGTATTTATTTTTAATCAGCTTTTGAGTTTGAACCTTTGCAGTTGTTTTCAGGGTCATTTATACGCGTCATACTTATTTGGAGACAGGAGTTTATGAAAGCTTCTTAAAAAAGATCTACAGTAGAAATTATAACATTAAAGCAAACAGCTCTGGTTTTAGAGTCTACTTAAATATATATATCAATAAACATATTTATCGCCACATGTCGTAATTTGGTGACGTGATAAAGAGTTTCCCTGTTTAGGTTTTTGTGATCTGAAGTAAGTTCTCTAAAAATAATAAATGAACAAAAAGAACATGAATCTTGATGTGTTGAACTCTGTTCTACAACTTCAGGTTGATCTTAAACTTAATAAATAAAAGAATCTAGAGGCTGAACAGAAAAAGCTGCGGAGGGAGGGGTCGGAATGATTAAACGTTTATCGATCTGCAGCTGAAAGATCAAAATGATCAATAGACTGACGAACACAGCAAAAATAAAGGTCAATCATTACCTCTCTAGATGATGAAAGCGGAAAAATATCACAACTATAAATATTTCCGACTAATCCAGATTAAAAAAAAAAAAAGAAAAAGGGAAAAAAAAAAACCATAAAAGCCAATTCCAAACTTTTTTGGTGACAGTATCAGTCCCCTGCAAGGTCATCACTTCATTAGGATTTTATTAACAAAAGTGTAAAAAGGCTATAAAATACAGTCATTTCCAGTGAACACATGTGCCACTGAAAGGAGGACAGATTCATTATTCTGCACCTCTGCATATAGAGTAGATTATTTCCATATATTACTTTGGGATGAGCTCATTCTCATACTCACTGTCTCCTTCTTTCTCAGCCTCGCTGTCTTCCTCACGGTCCCCCTCGTAACCGGAGCAGGAAGAGTCCAGACTCCAGTCCAGGATGTCGCCTAGCAGCATCTCCTCCTGATTGGACAGCTCTGCCGTGGGTGTGGCCACAAGGCCGCCTCGGTGGGCCTGCGTGACATCATCACGTCTCCTTGGGACAGACAGAATAGGAGAGCGGGGGGTTACGAGGAGTCATAAGAGCTTCTCGCAGATTGCGCAGAGAAAAACACCGTCTGGGCATTTTATCACAGCACACAGGGCAGCTGACAGCCGCTAAAGGAGCAACATCACTAGTTGTTATTTTTCAGGATGCCACTTCAGGCAAATAACAGATTCATCATTGTTGTTGTAATTAACAGTACAAATAACAATGGTCACCTATGGTCACATTTAATGCATAATATTAAATTCCCCATTTTCTGCTGCTGTTAATTGAAATCATTTATTTTCCCATCTATATTCCATCAGCAATGGACATACAATTCATCACAAAAGTATTCACACTTCTGTATATTTTGTCAATTAATTTCAATTCAATGAAAAACAAAATACTATATCAACCCTAAGAGAAACTAATTAGGCTTTTGTTATTTTAAAATAATTTTTTGATTTTTTATATAAAATGGTACACAATAGCTGACTGGATGCAAAACGCAACTATTTTTTTCAAATAGTTAGCAAATAATTGTGGCTTGCATTTTGATTTGGGCCATCATAAATAAATAAATAAATACAGTGCAGTCTTTGATTTAAGAAGTCACCTCATTAGTAAACAGGGTTAAACTCTATGTAAAAGCATTGGTTGTATTCATGCAGTGGCTGCATAATGCTGTGGGGTCTTTTTACTCTGCAGGGAAAAGAAACCAGGTCTGAGTTTAACCAGCTCAGGGCAGCTTAAAGTTCTGAATACCTTTTATTTTTCAAAGGTATATCTATATTAACTGCCAAGTATTAGTAATTTGTCCAAGTTATCCACCCCTGCAGTCGTGCCTTTGATCTGGGCAGATCTCATTATATAATGCTAAATAACAAAGCGTTCCTAAATGATGGTATATAATGGATTTATCTTGTTTGGGAAACAAATAGACAATTTAATACTTATAAATGCAGGTTTCCCCAATTAATTAGGCTATCCCTATTTAAATTTATGTTTCTTTTTCCTCATCAATAAAAGGATCTAAGAGTTAGACAAAAGTTTAAGTTGTGATACAAAATGAGATTATAATATAAAAAACACAAAACAAAAACGCCCCCTCCTAACCTTACAACTGTAGGAAAGCTAAAATTAATATTTCAAAGACTGGTAGAATGGGAGGCTGGTCTGGTAGCTGTTCACCTCTTGCTGGTGCTTGATGGAGAGGCCAGGAAGGTGTAGATGTCTGCTGGCTGACCACTAGTTGGACTTGGAGGCTCCATCTGGGGCTCAACTTCAGGAATCTCCAGGATCTGACAGAGCTCCTTAAAATCCATTACCTTGTGGAAAAGATCAATGAAATTTTAATCACCAATCAAATTAAGAAAAACAATAAAAGAGAGCAAGAAAAAAATAGATTTTAAAGGGGAACCTTTTCTTTGCTGATCTGCTGATAGGCCTCATCTTCAAAGCGTTGCTTCACTCCAGTCAGAGACACGTGCCTATAGTCTTTGGGCACATCTTGACTGAAACTGACGACAGATGGGCGCGGGGGGGGACAGAGAGAGTGAAAAAAAATACATAAGTAAGCCGGGATCACTTTGCTTTCTTCAACAGTATAATTAACTCTTGAAGACAAATCTTGTTAGTTGTCCATTTGTAGATTGGCCCATCGATACGCCGCTCACATATCAAAGTGATTCACACCGAAGCACGTCTCTCACCCACACCCAGAGATGCCTCACCATCTTTATGACTCCACAGCTCCGAGCTTTAGGTTTGCTTTAATGACCTAACAGCATTTGCCCCCGATGAGCAAATATTTTCTTGGCTTCCCATTTCTAAAATCAATGTAGGCAAGTTGAAAACAGCTAGACGTCCAACTAATCAATTCCTGCTCTCTTTCTTCATAGAAAAGGAGAACAGTTCTGTGGTAGTCATGTCTGAGTCACGGGACAGCAGTGTTTTAAAAAGCCATTTCTAGTTACAGAATCTGGATTTAAATCAGGCTGTTTCGCAATCAGTACATATCCCAAAAACAGAAAGGGGGGATCATATAATCCATTCTACGATTAAAAGAAACATCTTTACTTATATTAACAACAATTTTACAGCATAAGCTGACAAAGGGATTTTTAATGGAAATAAGCTCAGTGGTTTTCAAAATAAGCTTTTTTTGTGATTGCAATTTATTTATTTTACATTTGAGAAAAATAAGCTTTTAAAGATTGTAGGAACTATGACAGAAACAGGTGGGGGAGGGGCACTGAGATTCTCTATACTTAATCAAGGCGAATAAAACCTTTATTTCCTTCTAACCCTTTCCCCACAAACATTTGAGTCTGGAAAAATACATAAATCAAAATAACAGGAAAGTTACAGACAATGAATTCTGAGTAATATCTAAATTATAGTACTCAGTTCTAGAAGAATAAGGTTCAAAGTCCTTTAAACGAGGCACAAAGATGATAAAATAAGCTCGTCATGTAAACTGCCTCAGTTTGAACGCATCAATAAAACCCTGGTGAGAACAGCAGAGGAGCGCAAGATAATTAGATTTAATCCCATCAACACACGCACTCAAACACTCACCACTTGACGTATAGCAGCACAGAGAGAGGAACGAGGTCCTCCTGGGTAAATCCTGTGTAGTCCTTTAACAAAGCGGGCCAGACAGGACCTGTAGAGCAGCGGACAACTCAAGTTAAGCATAAACTTCACTTCACACCGTTTTATTACTTGCATGTGCAAAAGGATGCGTTACCATAGTGATGCAGCACCCTTGTGAGGAGCAGAGCAGCACAGGCCAGTTTGGCAGGAGGTGGAGCGGCGAGAGCAGAGTAGAGCAGTGACAGCTCACAGATGTAGCCGAACAGGTGAGTGGAGCGCCTCTCCATGGGGAGCAGAAACAGCAGGACCTCCCCATAGTCCAGCAGCGTGGGGCTCTGAAGGAGAGTGCAGAAGATAAAAAAAATAAATAAATAAAAGTACATGACAGTAAACTAAAGAACAGCAGTTAGATAGTGAGTGACACACACCCTTATCTTTCCCTCCAGCACAGAAACAACCTCCCCCATCATTCGCACCAGGTCCTCATATTTGTAGGTGTTGTCTGTCAGCCAAACGGCCTCGCGTATGGTCAGGATTTCTTTGCTAATATATCTAAAGAAAATACAAATATACAGTTAAAAAAAAAAAAAAAAGCTTGGCAATACAATCTAAATAAAAAAAAAAATGAGAGTGAAATGTAAAGGACCTCACCGTGTACAAACCACCATACAGGCGATTCCTAATAGCTGAAGGCGGGCCTTAGGGACAGAGCGCACAGCCAGGTATCGGTCAACGCAACCCACCGTCACATGCAGCGTCTGGCTGGAGAAATCCTTCATGGTGGTCACCTCAACGAGCCAGTCCACCAGGATGTATCTGCGGAGACAGGCCAAGAATACAGAAAAAAAATAAATAAATCTTCTGAATCCAAGTGTTTCTCCTCTTCTAGTCAGTCAGTTCAATAATAAACAAGAAATATACGTTTCCTTGAACTGCAGTTGTGCAGTAATGAACACGGGCACTATAGTATATTACAAATGTTTTGCATGCCTTGTGTTACTACATTTTTTTCAACACAAATTGCAAAACATTTTAGACGAACTATAAGTTATAAAGAACCATAATTGTGCCTAATGGTGATACTGTGAGCAGTAAAGGAAGCCATCTTTGTTAGAAAAGACAGAAACCGACACTGAACCGAGGAGATAGGTTTCGGTTTCAGCTGTAACCCTGCATTGAAACTCAATCCACAGAAATCACCTAAGCAGTCTCATCAGGATTCTGGTGAAAAAGTAAACAACTCCCACCAGACGACAGACTAATGGCCCAGGGGATGCATGAGGAGGTCGTTTGTATCTGAACTGGAGCGTGTTTTAGCACAGCAGCTCCCAAACTTCATATTGCTGAACTGTGAGCCTCAACAAAGGGCAAAGACTCATTGATAGGTGTCATAACATATTTACAAAACCTGAGTGAAAGTGTGGTAGCCTTTGTGAAATTTGTAAAGCATGTTGTTTTATTCACCCCCTTTACAAACATGCTCCTAATTGTCTCATCTCTACCTACACAAACACATGAGAGTATTATTTAGAGAAAAAGCCAAGAGACCCACAGCGTCCGCTACACACGCCAGTCTTTTTTCTGGAATTGCAGAATCATTGTAGATCATCACTGTGAAATGTTTGCAGCAAACAAAAATAAGAAACAGGAAACGGGGTGGTGGCTGCAACATTATGTGGGGATGCATGTCTGCAGCAGGAACAAAGATGGCCATCAGGATTTTACATAAAGATAGAGCGGGCAACATTCAAAGTAACAATGGATAAAAAAAACCTGTCAGAAGCACCCGATGGCTTAAGACCTCATGACAGCGCAATGAAACCTAACATGCAACCAAAACTCAAATAGAACGGTTAAGATCTAAACAATTTCATGTTTTTCAATAGCCTAGTCAAAGTCTGAAACTCTAACCAGACTTGAAAATCCTGACTCTGATGTCCTCTATTCAGTCAGAATGAAACTGGGCTATTATAAGAACAAAAATGGGCGACAATTAATCCTCTAGATTAGGGTTGAAACAATTAATCAGATTGATCGATTATTGAAATAATCGTCAACTAATTTAATTATCGATTAATCATTAAATGGAATATAGAGACTCTACAACTTGCCTTTAGCTGACAGCGCAAAGCACCTTTAGCAGCAATTAAACCACACTTGTAAAAAAAAATTATGTTAACATTTTGCATTTAAGATGCCTGTCTATGCTCTATCCAAAACTTCTCAAGTGGAAAAGTTTTAGTGTCCTCTGGTTTATTTTTGTAAAAAAATCTTTAAGGAACCTTTTGCTATCCGATTATTAATCGATTAATTGAAAAAAATAATTGACAGATTAATCGATCTAAAAAATAATCATTAGTTGCAGCCCCACTTTAGATACACAAAGCTGATAGTGACTTACCAAAAAAGACCTTTAAGATGGATTTCTAAAAAATTCAGATAAACCATGTATAATTTAAACCCATTAACATATTTTTGCACTTTGTGTCTCACATGAAATCCAGCTAAACCATTTTAAAGCTGTGTGAGAATCTACCAGAAATGTAAAAAAGTTTATTTTAACCACAACTGAACAAAATAAAAGGAACGCAGCAAGAAAAGGAAAATAGGATCTAGTCTCATGCTAACAGGAAGCTTTAATTGTGTAAGTTGATCTTTTTTTCTAATCCTTTACCTCATAGTGTCCTTCATGCCTCGCCTGAGGATCCCCTGAGCTGTTTGTTGATGTACCAAGTTGGAGGGATTGAAAATGTGGGCCACTATCTCTGAGCAGGCTTTGGACTCCAACCCCAGCGGATTCCCACTGCTGCACACTTTAGCCAGAGACAACTGGGAAGAATAAAGGAGACCAAATGTTAAAACGTGTTGGAGAATCGCTTTAGAGATCCTGACAGCTTGTTGAACTATGCTGCAGCATAATGACAGCAATCTGGTTTGGGTTTACTGCTGAAATAAGAGTGAATTAGATGAGTCATGTTATTATGATTCACTGTAATGAGAGGGGAAAAAAACAAACCAAGATAAAATAAAAAAAATCTCAGCATCTGTCAGGTCCGCTTTGACTCATTACGATAAATGCTTCAGTGAGAGTTTGAAAGATAAAACTACAAGAGAAAATAAAGGGCATTAAAAAAAAATACAAAAAAACACTTTAAAGTCTTTTTGTCGTTTTCGGAAAAATAAAATCTGTAGCACCACACAAAGGAGCAACAAAAGCAAACTATGACATTATTTAGAGGCTATGAGTCACCTGTGCTTCCCAGCATCCTTTGCCAGCATAGTCCCTGAGGGTTCGCACACACTGAAGATACCTTCCTGGGTCTGACATCTGCATTTTAAACAGACACACATTATCATCTCATACATGTTTCAGTTCATTTATCCCCTTATTTACTTCAAAAGGCTCCAATGCAGCAAGGCCTTGAATAGCATTACTCTGCAGAAATTAGGCTTTTGCGCATTTTGTTATATTAAACATACAAGAAAAACTTTAATGGATATAACTGGTATTTTATGTAAATAACTGAGACAATTTATGACTTTAGTGTATATTTATGAAATTAACAGCTAACAGATTTCCTGTCAGCAGATTCTCTACCTGAGCGGGGGTTCTTTGCAGCTCCCCCAGAGTCACCATGCCCCTTTTTTTAGTCCATCAGTAGATGGATTCAAATCTGCTACATAACTGGATTAATATTAGCGGAGTGGAAAAAAAAAAAAAAAAACGATTTGGCGATATATCGTGATTTTTTCAGCTGCCCGATATAATATCGATCTTTCCTTTTCTAATATCAATAAAAAAAAAAAATAATTAAAAAAAACTTTTTTACCTAAAACAATGAGGGAAAAAGGGCTACCTCTGCACCGCCACTCTGGCAGATAGCTTTGTGGAGCCATTTTACTTAATTGACTTGAACCAGAAACAACATAGGTTCTGATGAACATATACAGCACTTGCTATTTTTATCTACACATTTAATTTTGATAACCGTTAAAAATATTGCAATATATAGTGATATTTAGGGCTGGAACAATTAATTGGATTAATCGATTATTGAAATAATCCTCAATTAATTTAGTATTCAAATAATTGTAACTGGAATAAGGAGATTCTGGAACATGCCTGGAGCCAACAGAGAAACACACTTAGAGCAGTACCGGTAATTATTCGATAACGGTAAAACAAGTGGAAAAGTTTTATTTTAATTTTTAAAAATATTTTAAAAGTCTTCTTTAAGGAACCTTTTACTATCTACTATCTATTATTACTTTTATTACATATTATTAGGCCATATTGTTAGGTCAATTGCCTTCTCTAAATTCTCCTTAGGTGTGAGTGTGTGAATGGTTGTTCGTCCTGTTTGTCTCTGTGTTGCCCTGCGATGGACTGGCGACCTGTCCAACGTTTACCCCGCCTCTCGTCTGTAGACAGCTGGAGATAGGCACCAGCACCACTTGCGACCCCGCTTGGGATAAGCATGACGGAAAATGGACGGATGTGACACGTATCGTATCGACACAACCACACCAATGCTCAGCCCCTAATTAATATTTCAAATATTGTTTTTAAACTAAACTGTTTTTTTTCTTCTCCACAATAGGACTGAATTGTACAAATATTAGCCATTTTCTTTACATACACTCCATCATTCCAAAACCCTTCTATATTACATAGATTTCATAAAATTCCCTAAAATCCCAGTAGACAGATTGGACATGCATTGGTACGTACATTTTTGCAAGACAGTGTAACTATAGCAGTGGGTCAAGGTTCTAGTGAAGGTGGGACTGAACTCACAGCTGCTCTACGGTTGTTCTCCCACAACAAGTAGGAACTTTGCAGGCAGCCAGCCTGTGATGACTCCTCCAGCATGGCTACAGCATCTGATCTCCTGTCTTCCCCCTAAAAAACAGGCAGCATAGATCCAGATGTTTATAACACGTCTTCAGAGATGAAGCTTTTGTTCTTCTGAGAGAGCAGCTGTACAACAGTCCCTGACACATATTGTTTCAGGCCAAACAAAGGCCCCTGATGTGTCACGCTATCAAAAAAAGAAGAAAAAAAAGAAGCCAGCTGGGGGCTTTGAGTAACAGTTGCATAAAAAGAAGAAAGGAGGTTGTTTAGCCTGTGTTTCTGGTGACTCGTCTAACAACTCCTGTGACAGCAGAAGGCACATTTACATTCTTTTTAGAAAAGAACAGAAACCAAGCACACACCAACCAGGAAAATCAAGACACCCTCACTCACTTCAAACAGGAGCAAAACTCTGGCCAAACAGTGTAACAAAGGGCCCCTCTTCTCCTGCAGAAACAAAGAAAAAATTGTATATCAATCTCTATGCGTTTAGAGCGTCATCCAATAATCGGCTAATTTCCTCTCAACTGGCAGCTGCAGAACTTACCATGTTGCTTTCACACTCAGCCTTTAGGTGATCGAACACCACGGCCTTGCAGCAGCTGCCAGTGGGCGACCATGGAGGACGGATGAAAACCCAAGTGAAGGGATCCGCTTTGGGAGAAAGCAGGCTCTCCGCCAAGCTGAAGAAGTGGGAGGCTTTTCGACCACATACATCCGCTCGCCCTTCATCACTTAACAAAGCTGGGGAAAGAGGAGGCAAGACGGAAGAGCTGCAATCATTTTATCACAACTTTGTTGACACCAAATCCAACTAATGACATTTAAAGGTATAGTGGAGGATGTTCTTTTTCAGGGTGGTTCATCAAAATAAGTGATCCTCCTAATTCTAAATCATTCTGTTGATATGTTTACGTAAGGCCAGCCTACGTGCTTGTCCCCATTTTCACTTACTGGTGGTGAGTCTAACGTAGTGGAAAAATTGCAAACCTTCATTTGTAAAATTAGCTGGTATGAGCGATGCAAACAGCAACTTTAAAACAGAGCATGCTCGAGGAGAAATGGGCTCGTGCACACTCTTGCACGTGTTTAAATACCATTCGCTCTCGGGAGCGAGTACAGGGTTTTGCATGTGCATTTTTTTTTAAGTGGAGAAGGGCGGCTCTTTTCAAAAATTCGTGAAAATCCTCCACTACGTCTTTATGCAGAAATGGAAAGAAAAAAAAAAGTAGGAGGAAAAATGGTTGAGCTTACGTCCTTCATTGTACAAATAGGCAATCCCAAGTTTCACAGCAGCTTCAAAGTTTCCTTTCTCAGCAGCTCTGAAAAAACAAACAAACACAGAACTTCTTAAGTAAAACTCAATATGCAAAAGCAATTATATTAAATTCTCATTTAATATAAAGATCCATACCTTTCAAACAGCCATAAAATGTTAGGAGATGGCCACGTGTCTCTGAAACTGACTCTGGCCCAGACACTGTTGTGGTTGTCAACAATGTCCCGTAGCTGAGGATGAACCTACAACAGATACCAAAGGATTTTAGACCCAACAACAAGAAATGTCAAATATGCATCACCAGGGCGCATGGCGTGGTTCAACTCACCGCTCTGACAGACAGGAGGTCCTCCACGGAAAGACACTGGAGAACATAGAGAAGGATTTCCTCCGGTAGTGAAAGCAGATTTAGGATTGAAGATCGCTTACGGACTCGCTTCCGAGCCGGAATAGAGTAGCATTTTGAGCAACGGCAGTGGACAACTGGAAGATAAAGAAAGATAGAATATAAGTATCACCGCTTATACTCCATTTAGAGTCTAACAAATACTTCACCTCATAATGTGAACAACAAACACTTCACATTTTAGTGCAAAGCTGGCAAACGATTTCTCACTTTAATGCTAAACTGATGTTTAAACTTCCTTCAAAGTTGGTCTGCAGCCTGTTCCTTCAGGGTCTTAGCAAACCGTGGACAGACATTGAAAATGAACGATGTTGTAGTCCAACAAGGTATTTACAAATCTAATGATAACAGATCAGAACTAAGGTTACATTTGTTGTATAAATAATCTGAATCTAACTTGACTATTTAATATAAATGCAACGTAAAACTCTACACCCACAAAAAAAAAGATGCCAATTTATGCTGACACAAATATTTTATAAATATACCAGATAGATGGATAGCTGAAACAGTTCTTATATTTATTACTACATTATTACAACTACATGACCTAATCCTGTCTAGATACTAAGATCGGTTCGATATATCCCAAAAAAAGCAAACATCGGAATATGTAAAACTGCATCTAAAATTTAAAATATAATGAAGCTGATAGAAACCCTCCAAGTTTAACTAATGCATAATAAGAAATAGTTTACCATTTCTCATACTTATTAACATGTGTAAATACTGTGGCATAATGGTGTTATTACTGAAGGATATATTCATTCAACCTTTCAAAAAAAATAAAAAAGAAGCCATTTTTCACATGATCTTTGTTAGTATGCTTAACTAGGATGTTATGGTAAATAAAAAAAATAATAATAAAAAGAAATGTTAGTCTTTAGTTTTAAAAAAATCTAAAAAATATTAGGTTGGTAGATGTGGATTTTTTTATATATATAAAAATCCATACTATTTTTGCAGAATAATAAAATTAATAGCTTCTAAAAGTTATCCAATTAAAGAAGAACACCTTCAGGTGGACTTTTAAGGTTATCTAGACACAAGAAACACTGTTTCAACGTATTTAATCAAATGAAACTAAAGGGAATGATGAAATCATTATTTAAATTGAATATTTTTGTCTATTTATTGCAATCGGGTCAAATCTGTGGACGGTGAACTAAGCTGTTGGACCAGAGAAGGCAACGCAAGTGAGCGCCTAAATTTCCCTCCCGACCTCCAGTAAATTTGGGTTCAACTAATACTTAGTTTTGTAAACTTTAACCTTTAACTTTAATCTGCTGCAGCTGCCATAAGTAAAAAAAAAAAAGCATATTTCTGAAAGGTAAAGGTATTTGCTCCCTCATTATATTGACAATTTCCTCTAAGGTTTCTTTAAAGTCTTGAAGGAATCCATCACTAATCGAGGTGGATTTGAGCGAGAAGTCAGTGAATTTTCGGCAACTACAAAGGTCAAATACAGGCTTTAAACATTTTAATAGCGTTTTTTATTTAATTTTTAGTTAAACAAGACAGCTAAAGGTAAGAATAGTTACTTACCGCCCGCTTTCATTGCAAGTAAACTGGTCTCTTTCGCAGCAGGATGTGGATGTAAAAGCAGCTTTCTAAATGTAGCGGTTATCCAATCTAATAACTGCCCCTTAAAACATGGAAAATACGTTTTTTTTTACGTAGACTTATACTTAAAGTATCGAACTGGTGTAGCTGAAAATACCTTTCTAAGCTACTAGCAGCTTCCCTGAATTCAAATCCAAGCATGCGTCCTCTTTTGGACCTGCCCCTGTAGTTAGCTAGCACCGCCCGCTCGCACCGTTTAAACACTGCGTTCAATCTGATTGGCTGAGAGCGATGACGCCTCTGTGCAATAACAGCAGTCGCTGATTGGTCAGTGTGAAGAACAACGGCACCCGTTGGCTAGATCATATAAATCGTAAAATAGCAGAAGCTGATTGGGCGAAGAAACGCCATTTCGAAGTACGCGCTCGCCTGTGGGACTATATGATTGGTTGATCTGAATTTGACGAAATTCCATATTTTCGCGCAGCACTTTGGGAAATGTAGTTGTGCTTAGTAAGTTTGTTTAAAGGTACATTATTTAAAGGGACGTGCGTCTACCTATTAATGTGTGTCACATTGAGAGCGAATCACACTGAATCTGCTCTTGTGACTAATTGATTCAAACTGACTGCTTTTATTGATCCCAATAAGATTATAAGGAAAAATAATTATAACATGCTTTGCTTCTTTGCCATTAAAACACATAACAATACAGGAGATGTACAGTATTTGCCCACTTGTAGATTTAGTTTCCCTTTTAATTATTATTTAGTTGTTTGTTTTTTGCATTAACAGAACAACATTTAGTTGCACAGAAAAGGTCACTTCCCCCTAAACCTTAAGAATCTTGTTTAATCCTAGGAAGCAAAAACAGCTCCTGACAGTTATGATACCTCCACTCACCCTTTTCCATCTCTGTGGAACAACTTTGAACAACTCCTTGTTCAAATCCATTTTATTCAACCAAGATTGACATGATTTGTGGTATAAATAACCCATTTAAGACCATGTTGCTACATTTAAATTAGATGTAAGCTCAGACTTTGACTAGGGCACTCCAAACCTTTAAAGGAATAGTACACCCAAAACATGATTAGCCTTCATTTTCTACTCACCCCCATGCTGAACAGCACCCTGGAGTACTTTTTTGATATCTCAAATGCATCTGGAGATCTGGGAGG